AGAACTGTCTGTCCGGGGTGGGGGTCGGGACCCTTTAAGCACAGCCCTCGGCTAGCCTGAGACAGCATCTCCATGCTCTAAGTCCTCCTCTGATGCCCTGCCGGCACTGCTTCCGGCCATCCTTAACACCGGTTCAGGGTCCACTTAATGTGGACATGCTAGTTCGAATTAGCAAAACGCTAATTCGAACTAGTTTTTTAGTCTGGATCCGTTAGTTTGAATTAGCTTAGTTCGAATTAACTAATTCGAACTAAGTTAGTTCGAACTAACTTTGTAGTGTAGACATACCCTCGAGACTGACAACGATCTATGTTTTATAATGTATATTATCATGAGCTGTTCTGTAAAACCCACTTCATCAGATGGGTTGCAGTGAAAGTAAGAGATTCCAAGGTCTATAATACAGCAAAACCAGTTCACTGCCAATTGTAGAACCCATATTAATGCGGGCTGGATGTGTCCTTTCCATAGCTTTCGATGTGTAAATGCGGATGTCAAAAGCAGGGGAAATTGGCTTTGTCGGGTGTTAAGCAGTTAATGTTCCTCTTCAATCCCAGGGTCACGGTGTTCTATCTGATCATCGGCTTTGGCCCGCCCCCTCCGGGGCACCTGGCACTGGCCAATGTGGGCATACAGGCTACTGGGCTAGATGTCTGTTAGTTCAAATTAACTTTGTAGTGTAGACATACCCTAAGATTCATTTTAGATCCACCCCCATTGACAGAGATCTATTCTGGTTTCCATGGGATCCCCACACATCCATTCTAATCCCATCTCCCCTGCCCTGCCAGTGCTGGGCCCATCGGACCAGGACTCTGAACTCTTTTCCAATGTTGGCCAGGAGATGGGTTGCAGGAATGGCTGGACTTATGATGCTCACTGCTGTGTGTGTGTGTGTATGTGTGTTTGTGTGTGTATCTCCCCTCCCCAGGGAGAGGGTCTGGGTCTGACCCCAGACAGATCTGGTGCCTCATGGACAGAAAGACCCAAAGATCGTTCGGGGTAGGTCGATTGGGTTCTATAACCCCTCACCTGGGTTAGGCCCGGGGCTGATTGTGGCACATGGAGAGCTGGGGTATCCAAGGGGTTTTGCTCATGAGGCTTCCTGCTGGCTGGATTGGCATCTGAAGAGCTTGGTGTGACAGGTGTTGGCCTGTTTCGGAAGGTCTCCCCTCTGGGGCTGTAAGGAGCCCTGGGTTTGAGCACTCTGTCCTGAGCGGATGCCTCAGAGGTGCCCGGACCTGGCCTGGCCCGTCACAGGGGCACAAGTAACTTTTCTCCCCTGAGTAACCTTTGTGTCCATCTCATCCTCGAGGGGTTCAGGTCCCACCCCCAGACCCTCCTGGCCCATGACATCGCTGATCCCAGGTGTGCTGGGGCCCAGCCAAGAGCATTAACCACCAGCCCGGCCTGCCCATAAGGTCCCTTCCCTCCTGGCCTGGGCAGGTCCAGCAGCTGCTCTGGATGGCAAAGCTCTGGGTGGATGCATCAGTACCCGAATCGCAACTTGACTTTATTACTGGCTGGCTACGGAGCAGGCAGCGAAATGGAGTGTGTCAGGGGAGAGGACAGAGGCTACTGCAGGGGACCAGCGCGTGGGGAAGGCCAAGAGAGGACAGGGCGGTTCCAGCAGGAACGTGCAGGTGGACGTTACGGAGAGGAGCTCCCACAAGCTGTCACTCGACTAGCTGACTTGGGGAAGAGCCGCAACTCTCCAGGTCCGCCCCAGGGTTTGGCTCCTAACAAACACAACCCAGCTCTTCGCTACCAAAGAGGCAGCCGGCCTTAACTGGGGCTCCTAACTCTCCTGGCTTGATGCTGATGGGTTGGGCACAACCAGAGCAGAAGATGAAGGGGGGAGGAACCACAGGCTGGGAGGTGGGGGGCTGAGCCTCTCTGTGAAGCCGGCCCGACATCTGAGCCTCTCCAAAGGATGGAAGGGAGGCAGCTCCCGTCTATACTATTTCTGGGCCTCTCCAAAGGACAGAAGCGGTGCAGGGCTGGTCTAGGCAGTGACACCAGGCGGGGCTCACGGATACGCGCCCCTCATGGTGTCCTTGATCCATTTGTTGTAAGTGGAGACTCTTGTGTACACGCCAGGGGGGGTGTCGGGCCCCCAGGAGACGATGCCCTGGGCCTTAGCCCCACACACCAGGGGGCCACCGGAGTCGCCCTGCAGAACAGACGAGGCAACGGATACAGAACATCCCCATGAGCCATTTGCCACCAACACCCAGCCCAGTGTCACCGCGAGGAGCAGGGCTCAGTGTCGCCCAACGTGGGCCCAGGTCTCCTCTCCCACCTCAGCCCAGCCTTTCCAGCCTGCCAGCACCATTATGGACACCTTCACTCATCACAGTGATGTCCCAAGGGCGCAGCCTCCTGCAGCAAGGAGTTCCACAGGTTGACTATTTGCTTTGTGAAGAAGAACTTTCTGTTATTAGTTTGAAGCCTGCTACCCATTCATTTCATTTGGTGTCCTTCAATTATGGGAACTAATGAGGAACTTTTCTTTATGCACCCTCTCCACGCCACTCATGCTTTTCATAGAATCATAGAATAATAGGACTGGAAGGGACCTCGAGAGGTCATCGAGTCCAGCCCCCCGCCCTCAAGGCAGGATCAAGCTCCGTCTACACCATCCCTGACAGATGTCTATCTAACCTGTTCTTAAATATCTCCAGAGAGGGAGATTCCACCACCTCCCTTGGCAATTTATTCCAATATTTGACCACCCTGACAGTTAGGAATTTTTTCCTAATGTCCAATCTAAACCTCCCCTGCTGCACTTTAAGCCCATTACTCCTTGTCCTGTCCTCAGAAACCAAGAGGAACAAATTTTCTCCTTCCTCCTTGTGACACCCTTTTAGATATTTGAAAACCGCTATCATGTCCCCCCTTAATCTTCTTTTTTCCATACTAAACAAGCCCAGTTCATGAAGCCTGGCTTCATAGGTCATGTTCTCTAAACCTTTAATTATTCTTGTTGCTCTTCTCTGTACCCTTTCCAATTTCTCCACATCTTTCTTGAAATGTGGTGCCCAGAACTGGACACAGTACTCTAGCTGAGGCCTAACTAGTGCAGAGTAGAGCGGCAGGATGACTTCACGAGTTTTGCTTACAACACACCTGTTGATACAACCTAGCATCATATTTGCTTTTTTTGCAACAGCATCACACTGTTGACTCATATTCAACTTGTGGTCCACTATGACCCCTAGATCCCTTTCCGCCATGCTCCTTCCTAGACAGTCGCTTCCCATCTTGTATGTATGGAACTGATTGTTCCTTCCTAAGTGGAGCACTTTGCATTTCTCCTTATTAAACCTCATCCTGTTTACCTCTGACCATACCAGGAGCAGACTCACCTTGGCAGAGTCTTTCCCCTTCCATGGGAGCCCGGCACACAGCATGGTCGAGGAGACGTAGTTGCGATAGTTGCACTCGGCATCCGCCAACACCTCCACCTCCACCTCCTGCAGGGCGCTGGCTGCAGACGAATGATCGGTGGCAATAGTGCAGCCCCAGCCGGCCACACGGCACACCATCCCGGGTTCTGCCTCCTCACCAGCACAGGGCAGGGCGATGGTTTCCACCCACCCATCCAGCTTCGCCGGCTCAGCCAGCTGGGACACAGGAAGGGTGAAGATGAGTAGGAGGAGGGCATCATGGGGAAGGAGACAGACATCGTCCCCAGCAAAACCGTCCCAGGCTGGGATGGCAGGTCGGGGGGAGCCCCTGACCCTGCACCCCCCTCCGCAGCCAGATGGGACTCTCAGTTATCCAGTAGAGTAGAAGGTTTTATTGCTTCTCCGAGGTACAGCACAGGAGCGAGGGCAGACAGCCTTAGTCCTCTTGGGGGAACGGGGTTCACAGGCCCCTGAACCCCCTGTACTGCGCTCAGGCTGCTCTCTTTGTGCTTCCCCCAGCCAAGCCTGACGCAACTCCCAGCAACTGGGCCCTTACTCCCCACATGGCCACACCCCCTGCTTTGCTCTGATAGCCTCCACCTAGCCCAGGTGTCAGGCGGCTGGGCCGTGCCTCCCCTAGCGACCATCCCCGGCTGGGCCCTGCACAGAGACACACCCAGAGACTCCGCAGTCCAGCATAGGCCAGTAGGGGTCACACACAGCACAACACCGCAACCAGAGAATGCCAAACCAGAGTGGATGAAGGGCTACTAATGTGGACAGCCCCCTACTATGTCACACGGAGCCTGGGGCCATTTTGGATGGGGGAGGGGATGGGGCGGTACCTGCAGCAGTGTGAGGTCACTGGGGGTGGGGGATGGGATGGGGGTGGTACCTGCAGCAGTGTGAGGTCACTGGGGGTGGGGGATGGGATGGGGCGGTACCTGCAGCAGCATGATGTCGTTGTTTAAAGTCTCCCTGTCGTACTGCGGGTGGGGGATCTGCCGTCGCACCTGAATCACTTGCCGGCTCGGTTCCCGTTTTCTGATGTTGTGGGCTCCCAGGGTGACAGTGATCCTGATGTAAAAGCCGAGAGCAGCACGTGGGGCGTTAAGAGCCGGGCATGAACTCGTATTCGTCTGGCTCAGAAATTCTGATCTCGCAGGGACGGGGCAGCCCAGGGATCTCAGACCAGTTCTCCGATTCCGTCCCTCCCCTTTGTGCTTAGGTGTCCACTCCTCCCAAGCCAATTCCCCCCTCCCTCCCTGATCCCAGCAGGGGTCCATGCCCGGCTCCCAGCCTGGCACCCTAAAGAGCTCCCTGGGGCTGTGACCATGGGACAGACCGAATCAACTGACCCAGCGCTGGGGTTGGGCCATGATTTGCAGAGGCCCCTAGAGACTCGCCAACCCCTGGGCTCTGCTCCCCCTGCCTGGCCACCCCCTGCCCCTTTCCTGCCCCCCATGCCAGCACCAACGCATCCTGCTTCTCCATCCCCCCACGT